CTCGCAAGTCATTGTATAGGCCACATCGCATTCAATAAGCCACTACGATTCTGAATGGAAGTAGAATGCGTGCCGCATCCCACAAAGGGATTGATCAACGGCGAAGACTTTATCCTTATCCCTTGTTCGGCAAGTTCGAATTACGTTATCCCTGCTAAAGGCAGTTATTAGATCTTGCCGTGATTGACCGCCTTACTTTACCGAATTCTTCCAGCTCTCTGCCAATTTTCCGAAACTTCGTTTCCTCCCAAAGAAAGACGTGTCGGGAAGGGGAAGGGGGATCCTCTCCAATCAACTGTCAAAAATAGTTATGTAATGGTTTGACGGCGTCGAGAAATAGAAGGGATAATGCGAGGGTCGGGGAAACAACAACAGCCAGAAAATTACCCATGCGGCTCAGGAAAATTTCTCGCGATTTTTTCCCCACCGATCGACTACGACCCGAACTATTGACAGCTTCTTATACCCTGATCCCTTGCTTTACAGTTTGACTCCCTTTTCATGGGTAATTAACTCCTCCATCGACTCTCAAGCGTTAGTATGGGTGGTATTATTATTGATATTCTTGCTGAAAGACAGCGCCACGGTCAACCAAGGTGCAGAAATCCTGTAGGGTACAAGGTGGCGGAGCTTGCGGTCACAGCGGATATCCCTTTTTCGCGGCTCAAAAGCGCTTGATAAAAGCACGACAGCTCAGCAACGATAAGCTGACTCCGCCTATGAAGGCGGAGTCAACAAGTTCCACCTCAATCATTTTTTCATTACCAAGATTCGTTAGCGGTGATAATTGCTAATCTTATCGAATATGCCTTGGAGAATGAGTCGCAGCAAGTGGCGATTAGATACAGAGAACTCGCCCAAAGTTTAATTAACTCGTCCATTTTCAATCAAAATCTGAGGCCCTTTAGGGCATTTTCAATGGTTTCTTTTGTTTTCTCTCCGTTAGTATTGCTACTACATGATCTAATGGTTCCAAGCTCTACAACTTGCGAAAGGCGATTGTGGGAGCTGTCTTAACTTTCCCCATGTATACATTTAAACGTATAGTCTAGTATGGCGTTCAATGATGATGAAACCAACTTATGATTATTCATTTCAGGTGGATGAGAGTCGAATTTATCCCTAAATGTGACTCATTAGGACCTCTTACTGAATGCCGGTTCAAACAAGCAGCGATTGATTTGGATTTCGCTCCTCGTGATCCATGCCCATTAGGTGAATGGGGAAGGGTGAGTACAGAATCCAGTTTTGCTTCCGTAATAATTTCGAAATTGAAGTGTTTGAGAACTCATGTAGGGTCATCGTTCTTCAGAAGCTTAAATGGGGTCACGTCGGTCAATAAATCTAGCTCTGCGTGGAGCAGGCCGTTTTCGAGGTGGATCCAACCATGCGCACACCAGTCCTTCATATGCGAAATGAGTGGGGGTCATAACTACAGTAGCGTGCTACTTCCTCCGCTCAAAAGTTCGCCGGAACGGGGCAGCTGGGTGGTGATACCTAGGTGACGTCCGCTCTGCTGAGCGGTCGGCAGCACGCCCTTCTAAAGCTAATTGTGCTGTTTGTCTGCACTCTCAAGTCTGCTGGTTCGCTACCTTTGGCTGTGTATTCGCTGCGAGACTGCGGCGTCGACACGAGCACTGCACTTCGGGGTAGCGTAGGAAGGATCTCAAACGGCACACGGGTGTCACCACCCTTCAGTCTCATTTCCACGTTGAACAGTTCCACGGTGAATCATATGCTACAGCTGGGTAGTCTGACCGAACTCCCTTCCACCAGTGACATTTGGACTTTTACCCGGTTCCCTTCAAAGGCGCGCACTGCCTTTGACCAGCGCTGGTGTTCGATTTCGTGAGGGTTAGTGACTGTTATACCCGTGCACTTTCCACTGAGGAACAATTTTTGGTTGCACAAGAACACTGTGAATATATCACAACACCACACAATATATGTATTGTTCTTATATCACAGTGATGATCCCATTGGCTTTGCTTTCACACTTCATTACGTTTCATTCGCACGTAGCCCTTGAAGGGACAAGGCTCATTTTGGTACTCGGTCTGAAGTGGTAGCAGGAGCGCTATAGGGTAGGAATATGGCAAAAATGTGGAATGAATGGTTAAAAATCTGCAAGAAAACTCTGTTCTTCGCAACGCAATTTCGGATGAGTTATCCGTTGGCATCGCGCCAACAACTGCTACTGTAGATACGGTTGAAGTAGGCACTCATCTATTCATACAGCCACGCGCCGCTTGATATCAATCCCTTGGATTCGTATTGCACTTCGCGAACGAAGCCATACGGACATCAGCATCGGTCGTCCATTTGTGGGTGGGCGCTTGCAGCTTGATAGGGCGCTATGAGAGCACTTTCCTCGGAAAAGGCGGCACGCAGCGCCTGCTCAGGGTTGCCGGATTCTGTCCTGCTAGGCGCATTACTCCTACACGCCTTGAGGATTTACCGTGCCACTTACCGTTAAAATAAGCATAGACGGTGGCCGTTTCCATTCGGTTTAATTTTTTACGGGCGATTTCGCCTCATATATCCGCGTACATATTCACTTCGGACAAATTTAAGGTAGTCTACGACAAATCCTTCTGTGAACAAAAAGCTTTCGAAATGAGTATCAAATGGTTCATGGCTACTGGGCAGACAGTCGCGGATACTGTTTATACATGGCAGTCCAAGGTGAAATTTGTTAACAGTCACATTGCTAATTCGAACAGTCGAGGCCTTCTGAATTGGTATACATTTTTTGTAGTAAAATCGTGAAAAAATGTGTTTGATTTTGAATCATGCAAAATGTTTTTTTTAGATTTCAAAAGAAAAGTTCTATTTGTTCCCTGTACCTGAAGATCCTATAGCCCTTCCGAAAGATCTGAACTCTAATCCACTTCGTTGTCCCATTCGTGTTCAAGTCCAACAAGACATCGTTCCGGAACATATGGTATGGACATAATTATGATATTTCTTGGATACCAAATTGACCGAATCTTCTCTCAGCTGGAACAAACCCTACAGCATCTGCTGTTTTGTTTTGGTTTCTGCCCTATGAAATGCTCGGTGGACCATGTCATGGCTACGCGAAGCTCGTCGTTTTCAAGTAGGGAGACGTCTTTTGGTGAGTCTTTGGGGCTATTTGGGAACTGTTGTGGTTCTTATCGGGGTAAGGATCCTACTGTTGTGTCACAGTAAGCGCGGAGACTGGATATAACTCTCTTTCATGCTTGGATGAATAGCTGGGTTAATGAGCAAGTGCACGGCTTGAGATGATGAGCATATCCTTTTTCAATGAGCCAAGCAGTTTCATAAAAAAATTGTGGACCTCTCATATTCCCTTTATCGCTGACATGAGCACAGTCTTGTTCGCTGCAGATGATGGGGCGTGTCGGGGGGGGGGATGGGTTTGGCATGACGCAAGCCCATTTCTCCTCATTTTTTGTTTCTTTCAGCAGTACAGAAGATTGTATCATATCTTTCGTATCAATCGTTTTCCACCAGTTGTTGTCGCTTACCAGTTTCAACAACAGTTGGAAAACGAGCTGGCGGAGCCTCAAACCAGCATCACTGACACGCCCCTTCATCCGGAGCTGCTACGATGTCTGTTCCGTAACTTGGAAAGTGGCCAATTTAAGCACGTGCTTCGGATCTTCTTGAATTTGTACTTTTTCTTGCCTTTTTATTTAGCATCATTTAGAAAGCAAACCGTGGGATTGCTCTTCGCTTTACATGCATCAGACCGGCGGTATGTTCGTGTCGTTGGAACGCCCTGCTGACAAACCAATGTTCTTCTTCTGGGCATGGAATCACATGCTTACGAAAAAGTATAGGCAGGACAGGTGATTGTTCAGTTTACAACATCGGAGTTTTGTTCAAAATTAGCTTCTTTTTCAATCATATGGAGAGATCCACACAAGTGCCTTCGAGAGCAGGGGGAGGGCATTTTAGAGGCTTTTCGTGTAGAGCAGGGCTCATCATAAGAAAAATGAGGACGTTCGTCCAAGCATAAGAGCAAGGTGCTCCAGGTTGTGTGAGCCAGAACGTCTTTGCGCAGAAATGTGCACTCTATCCCAGGTGATCCCAGTCTTGCACTAGAAGGCCTTTGATGCCCCTCAAGCGGATTCAACCTATGAATTCTAGCGTATTGAGCTTAATCCTTTTCAGTCAATGTTCGGAGGCATTTCAAGATTACATGTTGCGAGAGTTCCGAAGATATTGTGGAAATATCGACAATAAACTTATTTGAATTTCTAGTCACTCAATGCCGTCAATGGATGGTCATCGCCTCCAGTCGAGTGAACCTCGCAGCTGAATTATTTAGCAGTGTCTGAAAGGATGCTATGATTGGGCCGTAGATTGACGTTTGTAACGCTACTATTTATATGCAAAAATGATTAGTAGGATAAGAGGGAAGCTAGGGCATTACAACCGTTTACAGTTGGGCTACAAGGGGTCAGTCTGGCTCAGGATTGAAGTTCACCACATTTCTCGATAGAAAAGCTCAGCAACCGCCGCCCCATCAATAAATCCATTTTTGGCATGCGCCACGCATTTCACTTTCACTCAGAATCGTAGCGCAACTTGGATGCGATTTAGCCTGCACGTTTTATTTGTAAGACCAACCAGTGTACAGGTCACTGTTTGACCCTTCCAACAACCCAAAAAAAAAACTTGGCTTGCCCAGTCAGCAGATGATCTGAAATTTTGTTTCCGGATATGCGCGTGGTCAGCGGCGTCCCTTGCCACTACATCACCCCTGCCCTGCTTCCTTAATGTGTAGCTAAACAGTATTGTATTTAAACTCGAGGTGACTTGTTAAAACTCGCTCATCGCAAACTTCCTGAGCGGAGCTGGGCTCTTTTACGGTCAAACGAGAGGGCAGGAAAGGACCACTCAGTTGCGCAATCATGTTTTCTGTCAGCTATTGTGGCATCTTCACTTTAGCTATCTTTGTCTCTTCATATGTTTTGAAGGCTATTCGGTGACTCAGTGGGGGTACCAAATTCTCAACGAAGCTTGCACAGGCACTTGCACCATGTTGCAGCTTTGTCAGAGTTTATAGGCTTCACCAAAGAGACCTATTATTATCATGTGCTATGAAAAGTAACTAACGAAGTGCAAACTGTGAACACTGCACATATACCCAATACACCCCACACCCCCCCCCCCCCACACTTTCCCCCAAAGACCACCAGCACCTTCTCTAAGGCCAATCCCGCAACTGTCTCTTTTATATGGGTAGCGGCGTTCACCTAAGGAACTTGCAGTCGCTATTTACTCTCCATGGAAGGAAAAGGCAAAAAATCATGGAAAACAGCGTAAGGACCCTCTCGCAGCCACTTTGGACGAGTTCTTCGGAACTTCCAGTAAAGCGGCATCCTGTCGCCCCTCTCGCACCAATCGCGTCATACAGTGCTATCCAGCTGAAGTTGTGACAGAGAATGGCCTATGACTTTTGGTGGGCGGGGCAAGTGGGAGGCGTCAATTTTGCCGCCCATAAGGCCAGCAGCATCTTCGTTCCTTAAAGGCAGTTGGCACGATGATTGGCTGCTCGGCCTAAAATGCTAGTAGGGCGCTATATAGTGGGGAAATGGCGAAAGAACGGAGTGAAACGGTCAAAATCCTGCGAAAAAAGAGCCTCCGTTCTCACTGTGTTAGTAATCAATTTTGGACGAGTTTCCCGTAGGCATCTTGCCAATAACCGCTACCGAAGGTACGGCTGCATATGTGTACTCATATATCCATGCAGCATCACGGCCGCTTCATACCAATCCTTCGCTTCATAATTTGCTTAGCAAATGAATCATTAGAGCGTCTGGAACAGTCGTCCATTTGTGGGCGGGCGGGCGTGGCGGGCGTTTGGGTCGTAATGTTGTGGCTTGATAGGGCCCATAAGGGCACCTTCCCTTGGAAAAGGCATTATGCAGCGCCTGCTCAGGGTCGCGGAATTCCGTCCTGCCAGGCGTATTAGTCCTGCTCGTCTTGGAGGATTTATCGTGCCAACTGCCTTTGACGTGAAGCCAGGGAAAAAGGGATAATTTTAGAACTGTGGGCCAGACTAGTATACCAGGTAGGGCGTCCACCATTACTCGAGGGCGGGGAGTGTCTTTAACAAGCGCGCTCATAGTCTGAGAATCAGATACTGGGTCTGCTCTTGGCCAGCTGGACCTTCGCTCCCCTCGAGGTCAATTAATTGGAAGCAGGTTGGTCTGGAAGGAACACTGATTTGTATATTGGCTGGCCCCACAGGTTTATTTGTATTATGAGGACTCGAATATACTTTCCTGAGAAATCAATGTGGCTTTGAGAAATCAATGTGGCTTTTTACTTCAGAGTCCTGGAAATACTTGAATTCTTGTCGAGGAATATTTCATTCGGCAAGTGAACACATTTGCTTCGTAATCTGAGAGGAAATCTTCTTTTCTTTGCTTTCTTCGGAGGTAGTCAACAAAATATGTATAAATTTAGCCACTAACCATGCTTAGATATTACACGCGCTAGAAGAGTCACTTAAATACAAACTGCTTTGTCTGTGATTTCATCTGAATCTATTCTTTTTGTTTCAGCAGTTTTTTTTATTCTCCACGAAGCGTGTAGTTCTCAAACAACCGTTTTTGCCGCTAAATTTACGTGTAAATCCGTAGAAAATGTGGGTTTGTTTACGAGTATTTGTTATTGTCTAACATAGATTAGATTTATTCTAGTCATTAAAGCCATTGGAGACCTACATTGTAGTTTGCCTTGTCGTTAGCACATTTGATAAGTTGTTGAATGTCCATGTTTGAATCAATGAAAAATTTTGAACTGTATAGGTTGTTAAATTCTCTGTGGTATTATCCATCTATACTATTACTGCTATTGACTAGAATACAAACGTACTATGCGAGGCGAACGTATGGAATGCAGCGAGTTCAGTTGAGCGGGAAAGTTCAGAAAAAAGACCGTTGTTTGTAACACTTTGGTGCACGTTCGCAGGGCATCGGTCAAGGGATCCATGTTGTGGCGAAAACGAGATTGGAAATGAAGTTACATGTGTGACACTCGAACCAGTTCTCAGTCGAATCAAGTGGCAGTGTTACAATATTTTGAGTCAACTAGCTAGCTATGGTTAGCTAACTTGTAGGGCTAGCTAGCTAGCCGCATCAACGTAAGATCCCTCAAAGAAAGCCCGCGTTGGCAAACAAGACTGCATTACAGTCTTGTTCGTGCGGATGGTGGGGCGTGTCAGGGGGACCGGATTTGGCGCGGTGAAAGCCGGTTTTAACCAGCTATAGTTGCTTGTCACTTACACAGTTGGTGGAATACGGGTTGGCTTTGCGCCAAACTCTGCCCTAGCGTTCGCAGCGAACAAGTCTCCACATGTGACGCGACGTTCGCTCGATTTCTAGATTGTTGGCCTTTCAAATTATACACCTTTTTTCAGTTTTGATTTCCAGAAAGATTCCATCCCGATATTATCAGCATTTGTGAGGCTGTCTACGAATCAATATGAAGTATGCACAGTTAGTGATGGGACCTGCCGGCAGTGGCAAAGTGCGTTGATTATTTCCATTTTCTTGGATGTGATTTTGTAAAACGCATTTCGGCTTGGTGTCGGGGGGACTTGTAATTATCGACCATTGCTGCTGACTCGGATGGTAAATTGCTGTAAAGTTATGCATTAACAGAGGCTCCACTTACATTCGCAAGAGTTGACAAGTTTTAAAAAGGTGGCACGTCTAACTGAATAGGATTTAGCAATAGAAACCAGCGAAAGTGCCAAATGCCTCCCTCAACCCAACTGCGCCACTTGTAATAGTTATAAGTGTTACACATGTTTCAGTCCACATATTGCTCAGTCATCTATAATCACTGCCAAAGTATAGGCCGCTTTGTACAAGTGGTAAACCTCGATCCTGCCGCTGAAGCATTCAACTATCCCGCAGCTGCTGGTTGGTGTGTTCTAGATGTTTTTGATTTCCTTATATGCAAAATTTCCTGCAAACAACTGAGACCCTGCTTACGAAAACGCCATTTCAGATGTGCGCGGGTTAATCAGCGTCGATGATGTAATGGAGGACAAAGAGTTGGCACTCGGTCCGAATGGCGCTCTTGTGTTCTGTATGGAGTGAGTGATTGCGACTATTGCCTGTATTTCTTTTTTCATTTTTATGTATTAGTGAGAAGCTTTTGATCTTTTTAGATATCTTGTGCAAAATTTGGAGTGGCTTCACGATGAGTTATGCGAGGGCGAAGACGACTATTTTATTTTCGACTGCCCAGGACAAATCGAACTCTACAGTCATTTACCAATCATGCGGCAACTTGTCGATGCCTTAAGGTGCTTGAACATAACAAATTTGCCGGATAATAATTAGAATTCATTCGTGTTCAGGGCTTGGGACTTCAATGTGTGTTCAGTCTTTCTGATTGACACCCACTTCGTACTTGAGGCTGAAAAGTAAGTGTACAGAATTTTTTTTGAGAATGGTAAACTACGAACTTGGGCTTTTCTATTTACATGGCGGTCTCACTATTTCGTCTGTGTGGTCTCGGTGGAGCATTACTAGAATGAATGGAGGGCTGCCTTTGGAATGTAACGCAGGGCACATTGGGGATTCTGAAGGGGTCGTATTTGGTCGCAGGGGTGGGGCCGGGTCGTGATTGTCTTTGAAAGGGATGTTTTCGGTTGCTGACTTTTACCGGTTATTCTCGTTCCACGTGCGATATTTTTCCCCGCCACTGCTTCACTCGGCGGCAATCTTTCAGGGGAGTTGAGGAATTTTTGTAAAGAAAAAGCTCCAGAAAATAGATGTGAAGGGGAGAATTTAGGAAGGGTATAGGTGTGATGGTGGAAGGGGAAGAGTGGAGTCGTCGAAGGAGAGGAGGAAATTCTGAAGGGAGCTCTTTTTTTTGCAAACTGCAATGGCAGATCCTGAACTCATGTGGTCGAGGAGGAGGGAGCTTGATACATGCATGCTGCTCTCAGAAGTAGCTGAGCATGGAAAACTATATGGAGAGCGCTTGATGGACTGGAACCACACTTCCCGGGGACCCGAGTTCCTTTCCTTTTGTTGATCCCATTATTCAGCTGTCCTGCATGCAACGCGCACCCATAAACCTGATTCTGTAGTCGTCTGATCCAGATGAGTACCTTGATCGTACTACTTTTAGGTTCATCGCTGGCGCCCTAACGGCATTGTCTGCAATGGTGGCAAT